ATCATGACGACACGACATGAAATTGTTCAAAAGTAACATGGATATATCTCGAGAAAATGTCGACTGCAGTTGTATCTAGCAGGAAATGGATAGCAACACGAAGGAAGGGAGAGAAATTGTTGTGTGACTCACCGAAGATCCTCTTGGGAACCACGGCGATGTCGGAGTCGAGAGGCTTGCTGCGGCCCATCTTGTTCTCCGCGTACACCCGGAAGTAGTACTCGCGGTTCTCGTACAGCGCTGCGCATGTGTAGATGGTCACGTCCGGCTCGGTGCGGCCGCAGTACATCCAGGCTCGCTTGCCCTCCTCTCTCCGCTCCACCACGTAGCTCGTGAGGGGCGTGCCCCCGTCCGACGTGGGCGGCTGCCACTGGATGGTGGCGGAGTCGCGGGTGATTTGGAGCGATTTGATTGGTCCGACTGGTGCTGAGGGCACGCCTGCAAAGGAGGAACAGACGAGGAGTGATTTAGTAAATGTGAGGCGTGCTGACACAAAATGAGTTACTTCCCGCTTTCCACAGATAGGGATATTGGTCAAAAATCGACAGTCCAATTTGTAGATTTTCTATTGATACTATATTTTCTAAGTATAAAAAGCCTTTTACCATTTAATTCTTATAAATAGTAAAAACTTCACCTATAAACGTGGTGTACCTATTTCCATAGGGCTCGAATCCAAGAAGTAACTTATTTTGTCAGCACGCTTCACAAATGACCTTATTGAACCCTTTCACTGCTGGAAAAACTAAACCACTGAGAGGCAGACGATGCTCCATTTAAATGGATCTGCAATGTATTGAAAACTGAGAGAAGACACATACGTTACCTACAACTTATCTCACAACTCTACCTTCACTCTGTACCTGAACCATCACCAGAGTTACTTAGTTTTATTCCTACATAGACACACACACACTCAAACAAAACCAGTGTCGATACCGTTTTGACAAACACGCAAATGAAAAGTAAACACCCCCTCCCCCCTCCCTTCACACACAAACACCCCACCCACAAAGACATCCTACACAAACACCCAACCTACCAAGACGCCCACCAACCCACCAACTCACACAGACCCCCACACACAGACCCACACACAGACCCCCACACACAGACCCACACACACACAAGGCGCGTGACTTACTGTAAGGACTGACTGGCCGTACGGTTGCGTCTGTCTCCAGGGGTTCGCTGACCCCGACCTTGTTCTCGGCCATGACCCGGAACTTGTAGTCCACACCCTCAAGGAGGTTCTCCACCTGGAAAAAAAGATGAATGTTTCTTACACCCCCATCGACACAATTTAGATCATTTAGGAGAAGAAGAAGAAGAAGAAGAAGA